CAACGTTAGAACATGATTTACAACAACTGCACTTACCAGTATGAACCCTGTCTTGATGGACTGCATCCAAATACATCCGCATTTCATGTGCATCTTTAAATGGTACCTTATCAATTGTCAGGAAGCTGGTATCCTTTAGTGTTAGCATCAGGCAGCACAGTTTTCTGCCATTTGGTCGTAAGGTCACGGTTTTAATATTATGGCTTAACTGAAAACAAGAAAGTGACCATAAGCAAAAGTCCAACTTTAAAAGGCCAACATACTTACAAATTTAAACAAAATATTTCAAATAGACAGGATAAGAGAGACTCCCACCAAAATACTTCTCCTTGCTCCAGTTCAAGGAAACATTAAACCTCATAGAATTAACACAATCTGTGACCTTGGCACCTGACAGAACTGTAAGGATGGTATCAATATTGCTCAACAGTCTAGAGTCCCAGATAGGCTTTCTGAAACCTTCTTTCCTACTGAGTATGACACTTGTAAACATAAAGGAAAAACAACTTTATGAAGTCACATTTATGAAAACTTCCACATAAAGTGTGGAATACAATTTAAGATGGGGAAAATTTCAAGTATTAAACATAAATGTCTCACTTCACAATTTGCTCCCAGAGAAGAGAGATTTGAAATGGCTTAAACAATCTGAGTAAGAAACATGCTTAGTCTGTACGCAACATCATGACAATTAAGTGGTATTAAAACTTAAAGGGCTGAGCACAAAAATAATTTTAGTAAGAGTTTGCGCTCCCAATGATGCCCCTGTTACTTTATAATAACCTCGTTACTTCATGCTAAATCATCTACAAAAACTGGCTGTTGGGTAAAGCTTCTACTACTCATGCAGATTGAGGGTAGCTCAAAAAGACTGAGAAAATAAAAGACACTCCATGTCCACCAATGGGATTTCTTTTTTTTCCATTACAATCTCTAGCTTCTTGGAAAACCAATCTAGATACAACAGCAGCTTGTAAGAGGGGCTGGAAAACCACCTCAATCAGGAACTAATGTTTTAATGGCAACATTACACTTTTGAAACACATTGTGCTTAATCCTTGTATTTTGGGTTAGGTTTTTTTTGTGAGCTGTTGGGATTTTTTTAAAAATATAAGTTAAAAATATCTTCAAAGACCAAAGAATTGAATAATAGGCTCCAAGTTTTTCATTCTCTCTTAAAACACTGAGCCCAGTGCAAAGAGATTACAATTACTTCACTATCTCAGTGCAAAACAACCCATTTAAACTCAAAATGCTGTCAGAAGACTACATCCATACTCTTTTAATGCACCTACTAGGACCCAGTCAGTGTCACAAAGTTTTGGCAGGTGCAGGGAAACAAAGTGTTTCTCTTAATACTATCTGGGACAACTTAGTTTAAGCTCTGAAACATTTCTAAAACATCATCTGATAGAAGAAATTTGATGACACACCAGTCACTGTAGAAAAAAAAAAAAAATATAACACTGGATCCATCCAAACCTTCCATTACTGAAAAGTAAAAACAGGCAGAGAAATCACCCACAGTCCTCTCAGAGCAGCTTGCCAAAAAAACTGGGAATGCTACTTCTAAAGCAAGATCATCGTGAATTTGTCACACCTGAAGTGGAATGCCAACAGCCTGGGGCTGTCTCACATGAACTACCCTCCAACACAAGCCTCCTCCTCTTCCTTTGCTGAAGTCCCAGCTGCATGTGGTTTATCTCCCCCTCCACTAGATCCTGCATTCAGTCCTTTCCCCAAATTTCTGTGAAAACCCTCCACTGAGCTCACAAAGATCTGACAAGTGCCAGGCAGCAGACATGAGAGGCTAGGAACAAAACCTGCCCCTTTAGGCCATGGTTAGCTGTTCTGTAGGCTCATCCTCCCTGTGGAACCTCCCTTGGAGTTGCTGTCACATCACATCACTCATCCAGGCAGAAAGGAGTGTGTGATAACAAGCACCCAGGGAGGGGAAGACAAGACTGCTCTCCTCAGGAGCAACATGGTCCAACAGTGGATTAAACCAAACCTGCAGCCACAGCAGCACACATGAGAAGGCAGAGACTCTTTTTGAGTCCACAGTAACACAGGTGAGAACAATCCACAGCTACCAATTTCCTCACAGCCTTGTTTTCAAGGCAACACTAGCTGCAAGATTTTTTGCTGAGACTTTTCAGCACACTAAGGCAGCAAAAACCTAACTTAAAAAATAAACAAACTTTTTTTCATAGCATCTGCACACAGAAATAAATGGCTCAGAGAACAGACTGGTGAACATTACTGATGAAAAACAACAGTGGCATGAAAAAGAAGCCAACATATAGATCAGTTTATGCTGTTGCAAAATTGCTAAATAAGACTGGATTTCTTTTCTTCCAACTGATCTTCTGTCGTTTACATATTTTTAAAACAGGTATGTATTTCTTACAGAAAAAGCACTCTGCTTTTGATTTGGGGAATTTTGCACAAAATCTTGGAAGACTGATCTGAAAACAACTATATAAAGAGAAAAATTTTGGCTGAATATTTCAAGAGAATCTTTAACAGTGATCTGCATCTGCATTTAAAACTTAAAACTGTAACAACTAATGTTCAGCAAAGTCTTGCAAAAGGCTACAGGTGTATTAACACCATTACCCTTCAGCTGGGGAAACAGCCAGTATAAAGTGCTCAGGGTCTTTTAGATCTTTAGAGAATGCAAATGTACCAGTAACAGAAAGGTTACAGGCTGCAAAAATCTAAAATAGGAGCCACAATGCTCTATACTTCTATAACTTTTCTCTGCTTTTCCAGTTCAGTGGTATCTCAATGCCAGCCTTGGTAGATCCTTTAACAATACATGTAAATAATTTACTGGAGAGTTATACAAAGGGATTTGTGTTCAGGAAAGGAGGAACAAGAAACAGTGACAGAGGGAAGTCTGCAGGATACTTAATAGCCTTGAAGGGGACAGCTGTTCACAAGAGAGCACAATCCACATACTGTTGAAACAAAAGCCTTAATGTCTGGCATACCTGAAATGTCGTTGGAACTCCTCCAACATTGTAGTGAACTACTAGATTCACTTTGTTGTCCTTCTCCACAATTTCAAAGCTCCCTTCTTTCCATTTTGTAATCCCAGTCTGCATGCTGCGCATCCGGACAGGTCCGTGCACCTTTAACAGAGCCATGCTTTCTCACAGAAAAGAGCTATCAAGAGTAAGCGTGATCCACCTTAAAAACCTGTTAAAAAGGAGAAATGTGTAACTTGGCGGGCCAAATAATGGCTAAAGGAAGACGGAAGCATGGCTTGAACTTTCTGTAGAAGCTTGGTAGAACCGTTTCATTGTTTTTAAACACAGTGAGGAAGAGCTGGACAGCAGTGAAGGAAACTTAAATTAATAAAATCTCTCTCAGTATGAACAGCAGTGAACCGATTCCTTACTGCTGAAAGGTGAGCAGACACAATTCCAGACACAGAAGTCCTCAAAACCCCTTCACTTCAACGGATCTAAAGAGGAAGAAAAAAAAAAAAAAGAGAGAAAAAGAAAAAAAAAAACAAAACAAAAATTGCCCGAGGAAAGCCAGTATGAGATGGGAACCAAAGTTTTGGAGAAAGCCAAGAAAGAAAACGAGCTCTTTTCTGACGGCGCGGGATCCGCGGCCACCTGGCAGGGCCCGGAACGGGGGTCTCCAGCTTTCCCCGCTGCTCTCGGCCCGGTAAAGCCACGGGCCCGGGGGCGAGACACAGCCCCAAGGGTTCCGGAAAGCACGGCGAGGCGTTTTCTCGATAAAAACCAGAAGGAATGAATGGAGCGGCCCCTGCGCGCAGCCCGGGAGGCGCTGCCGGGGAGGTTCCCCCAGGCATCCCGCGCTCAGCCGCCGCCGCTCCCGGCCCGGCCTGGCGGTGCTCCCGCTCTTCCCGGGCCTAGCCCCGCTCCCCTTCCACCTCTCACCCACACAGGGACATGGAGAGCACGGGAGCGCCGTCTGCCCCGGGCCGGGC